GTTTTTGGTATGAATATTCACTTTTGAAATTACATAAAATTTGTTTGAAATTGGTATAGATTTTTGTTTGAACATTCATTTTTTTGTATGTTTCTGGTTAAAAAATTACATAAAATTTATTTGAATTTGGTATATTGGTTATACCATGTTGGTACGATTTTAGAATTATATTTGAATGAATTTCGTATACTATTTGTCTAATAAATGACAATTAATAGTTAAAAGTGGTATTATTTTGGTATTATAGTGGCATGATTCTGTTGTGAAAAAGTGACGACTTATGTCATGAAATAAGTATAATTTTGGCATGAAATAGGTATGAAAAATGTGCATAATAATTATATGAAATTTGTATATTGATTTCAGGTTTTTTGTTGTGTACAATAATTTGAATTATGGCATTTTAAAAAAAATGTATAATGTTATATTTTGGTATGAACATTGAATTTGTTCATTATTTGTCTGACGAATTTTTTTTGGGGGGTATATTTTTGGTTAAAAAAATAGATAATATTTTCTTTGGAATTTGTATACTTATACTACCAAGCAGTATGACAATCGATAATGTTTTGGTACGATTTTTGGTTTGATTGGACTTTTTTTTTTGGTATTATATTGTAACGAATTGTGAGAATAATAATGTAATGAATTCGGTATACTATTTATTAAAGAAATGACAATTAATATTTCTAAGTTGGAGTTATTTTGGTATTCTAGTGGCCTGATCCTGGTATGAATAATTGATAACTTTTGGCTTGAAATAGGTAAGAAATGTGTGAATAAGAATTGTATGAAATTTGTATACTGATATAACATATGTGCTTTTACTTTTGTATTCTATAATAACATATGAAATTGTTTTAAAATAACATATGTATTTTTACTTTTGTAGGAAAATTGAAAAATCAACATGTGGTTGAGATTTCAATCAAATTAGACAACCTAAACAAGTTAATGTTGTATTCAATTGGTATCCAATAGATATCCCACTTGAAAATGAAAAAAAAAATAAAATGTAACTGATATTTCAACCAAATTAGAAAATCTAAAACAAGTTAATGTTTTATCCAATTTATATACACTTGGTATCCAACTTGAAATTTTAGAACAAAGACAAAAAATAAAAATAGTATAAAATTAGTATCCAACGGGTATAAATCCGGGAAGAGTAAATTTGGTTGTAAAACAATGCATATTATATATTGTTGTCAGAAATTGTAGCAAAAGAAATATACATCACCCAAAAATCAAACATGTAATTAAAAGTACTAAACTGCAATAATTAATACAAGTTCTATATTTTTGTCTCTCTTCAATTTATATTCCGTATTCAAGTGTGATTTTTTTAATCATATTTAAAGCTAAAACTTAAGAAATCCTTATTAAAGATTTTATGATCTCATATTATCTATATATATATCAACAAATTTCACAATTAAATATACTTATTTCACCAACAAAACAGTATTTTAGATATAGAAAACACACCAAAAAAGTTCAAAACTTAAGTAAACGGTTTTTCTCTCAAGAAATCAAGTTTTAGATTAATTAAAATAAAAATGAAATCAAATTTTCAAAATATATAGAATTCTTAATTCTAAAAAATCAGATTAAAATAAAACAATATCAAAATTTAAATAAAAAACATCAAGAAAAGCAAAAAAAAAGATTAAAGAGAGAAATTACATGTTAAATATACGGTGATAAATTTATTTAAAAAATAATTAAGGCCCAATAGTCATTAGTAATAAAGACTATTTGAATAAGTTAAAAATACCCTTAAAGGTGTAATAGATAATTACAAATTGATTCTCTCTCATTAATATTATTTCTCTCACCTATTAATTATATAAAAGGAGTTGCAATCAATATAATTAAATAATTAATAATATAAAAATATAAAAAAATTAATTATTTAATAAAGTAAATTTTAACTGATTTTTAAATAAAGTTAAATTTAATTGATATGTTATAATCCGTAATTAAACTGTTATAAGTAATAATTTTTTAAGAGTAGGTTTAAAACTCATAATATTGTCTCTTAAATGTGTATATTTAGCTATTGCCGTAAATTAATTGATGCTAAAGATGATTTTTATGGTGTTAGAATTTCAAAAAGCAATTGATCTTGGTTGTTCTTTCAAAAGTACCATTATTTTAATACATAGAATTTTACACTATCAAATAATCACTTCTTTGTTTAAGACATTTAATTAGGGATAAATTTAGTAAAATAACACTCCTTATTTTCTAAGAATACATAACTTCCTAAAAGGTGTGCCTACGTTAAAAATATCATTTATCTAGAAATGGAGAAAATAATACATAATTTTCTGGATAATTTTTGCACTATAATGATGTGCTCGATACGACGAAAAATATTTTTAATATTTTCATTTGGATTGGTAAAATATGTTGGAGAATACTTTTTTTTAAAAAAATTTCTTAAAATAAGAACTAAGAAAAACACATTTCTTGAATGACATTTTACATTAATTATCCTCCCCATTCTCTAGTAGAGACCATCTCCACTCCCACCCTCCAAAACCCCAACTCCACCCCACCCCCACACTCCTACCCAAGCTTGTCCCACCTCCAATGGTGTTTAATTTGAATAAATTATATATAAATATTTTTATTTATTTATAAAAAAATCACTTATTTTTTTTCAAAGAATATTTTCTATTTTTTTTCTTTTACACCAAACACACCCTAAATCTATATATGTCACTAAAAAGGCAAGGAGGTAGAATATGATAAGTTTGTTGTGGTTATATACATAAACATGACTCTTAACGTGACTGTAACTGGCAACTATGTTATTTAACTTTATCAGTGCACAAGCAGACACTTTAACTATTCAAAATTTGATCAAATAAACACTTGATTACTGCAGGCCATATGCATGATATATAAACGGTTCTACGCACGTGGATTCCATGTATGACATAAATTGTTAGGTCAGACGCTACATAATAAGACACATGTGTCTATTTGTTCAATTTTATACAAGTTAAAATGTTTACTTGTGCATACTCAAAGTTGGAGGACATAGATATTAGCTAAGGCAAGTTAAATGATACGTTTATATATTATGTGTAATTAAAATCCCTACAAAACCCGCTCATATTGCGGGGGGTGTAATTGCATTTTGGGTTTTTTTTAAAAACCATCCCTAATTTACAGTTACAACGATTTAAAAAACCCTATATAATATTTCATTTAACAATCATTTTTAACAAATCATTAAGTTTTATTTAGCTAGGGTTTATCACCTCCACAATCTTTTTTTGGACAAATAATTAAATTTTAATTAATTTGGGTTCATAACCTCCGTAATACAAAATTTTAATACTCATGATTTGGCAGCGGTTAAAACCCTCCCACACAAGATTGTTATAGTAAAAAATTATTTTTTTAGAAATTTTATTGCATAATTACGAGAATGAGCAAAATTAAAACAAATAAAATGACCCCCCAAACAACTTTTTCAATCAACCAAATTATCCTAAAACCAACATACATAGCAAGGATAAAAATGGAAATTTGATTTGAAAATGAATATTTATATATAAAATTCATTAAATGATATAGTTGTATGTATATATGTGGTTCTTTATGTGTATACATTGTATATGCATAATATATAAACATTATTCTTAACTTGAATTCAGTTGAAAACTATGACCTTTAATTTTATTAGTGTACAAATAGGCTCTTCAATTATCCAAAACTTGAGCAAATAAACACTCGAATTTACCTCTGTCGTGCATGACTTGATCAATGTATTTCACGTATTTTGCCAGATAGAATTCAAGTGTTCATTTATTCAAGTTTTGGATAGTTAAAGTGCCTATTTGTGCACTGATAAAGTTAAAGGTTATACCTACCTGCTAAAGGCAAGTTAAAAGTCATGTTTAGTATTAGGCATAATACATAAATGTGCCCTTTAACTTGGTCTGATTTCACATTTATACCTTCCAACTTTGGGTGTGCATAAGTAGCCACTTAAACTTGTATAAAGTTGAACAATTAGACACATGAGTCCCATGTGACACCACGTAGGACGTGAATTGTCATGTAGGACGTGTGTGTCTCTTTGTTCAATTTTATATAAGCTTAATAAGTGTATTTGTGTACACTAAAAGTTGGAGGGCATAAATATAGAACGAGGACAAATTAAAGGGCATATTTATGTATCTCTATTCAAAATGTTTTTATCACTTCATTATCTTAAATCGAATTTAGTTTGAAAATATTATTTGGATTTATTCACAGTCAAAATAATTTTATCACTTCATTAACTCAAACCAGATTTTGGTTGAACATATTATTAAAATCTATTCACAGTCAAAATGTTTTTATCACATCATTGAGTCAAATTAAATTATGCTAAATATATTTTTTGGATCTATTCATAGTCAAAATGTTTAAAAATTCTTTTTTTTTTTGGCTATATATAGTTGGGAGCTTACAAAGAAACAATTGTACCTCTTGTAGCCTTGTTCACTTCTCTATCTCCATACCACCAAAACAATGGACATAGGATTTGGCAACCAAAAAGATTGCATAAAAGTTGAAATTTTATGGACGAAACTCATAAAACCATGTTTACCTACTCCCCCTCACCTTCAATGTTACAAGCTCTCGTTTTTCGACCAATTATCTGAGAAAGAACATGTCCCATTTCTTCTTTTCTATGCTAATAATAATTTCATCAACAACTCTACCATCGATGAACGACTTGAGCAATCCCTTTCAAAGATATTAACTCATGTTTATCCAGCAGCAGGAAGGTATGACAAAGATGAATGTTCGATTCTTTGTCTTGATCAAGGTGTTTCCTACACTAAGGCAAAGGTCAATTGTAAGCTTGATAATTTCCTAGAGAAAACACGCAAGGACCTTGGTCTTGCGGGTTTATTTTGGCCACATGAAAATAAGAATGTAGATGAAACTAATCTGATGGTTTCACCTATTGTCATTGCCCAAGTAACCGAGTTTGAATGTGGTGGTCTAGCAATATCATTGAGTGGTTCACACCCTGCAATGGATGGTTTCTCAGATTTTAAATTTCTTTTCGAGTGGGCAAAAGTGTGTAGAATGGGAACTCCTGTCGAGGAGATTAATTTTCTAAGCTTCAATTTGAGTAACATTTTTCCAACAAGAGATATATCAGGACTTTTCAAGTCAACTTATGATCCAGTTATAGATAAAAATATTATTGTTAAGAGATTTGTCATCCGTGAGGCTGCTATGTCAAGGCTCAGAAAAAAGTACATGGATGAATCAGATGGAGGTTTGACTTTTCAACCGTCAAGGGTTGAAATAATTACAGCACTCCTTTGGAGGGCTTTAATCCGCATTTCAACAACGATACATGGGTATGTTAGGCCTTCTCTAATGGACTTTCCATTGAATTTGCGCTCTAAAAATCTTTACCACAAGTGCACAATTCTATGGGGAATTTTAGAATCGATGTTCCGATAAAATTCATACCAGGAGAAACCAAGATGGAATTACACAACTTTATAATATTAATCAGGGATACAGTGAATAAAGTTGTTGCTTCATGTGCCAAAGCTTCACCAGATGAAATAGTGTCAACATTGGTTAATATATATAATGAAAGTGTTAGATCACCAGAATGGGGAGGTAATGATGAAGTTGACAAAGTTTTATGTTCAAGTATGTGCATGTTCCCTTTGCATGATACTGATTTTGGTTTGGGAAAACCAGCCTTACTATTTTTTGGCATGAAAGATACACAAATGTTATGGTTGCATGATACGAATATTCATTCTGAAGTTGCTGTGCAAGTGGACTTGAAGGAAAGTTATATGCAATTTTTTTTTTTCAACAACTGCCAAAAACCTTTTAAGTATACCATAATTTTCGCGATTAACACTATTTATCTGTTACAAAGGAGAGGTAGCAAATTCTGTTGGTCTAAAGCCAAACGTTGTGAGTTTCTATTGGTACTTGTTTTGTTTGTACTTTTTATTTAGGAATCATTTGGACCTGGGATGGAGTTATGATTTGAAATCGTATTTTGAAATAATATTGATTTGAGGTAGAGGATTTGTTTGGATATGCAATTTGAGTTTCTTTAGTTTTATTTTTTCTCAATAATAATGAAAATCCGATAAATTATGAAAACTATCAAAATTTTCTCATTTCTTATACAATCATACCAAATGAGCAAAACATAGTTTATAAAACAAGATATATATAACGGAATATACTAAGAGGCTGCATGCACTAATCAAAATCGCATATGTCCATGTCTTTTTATCTATAAATGTATACGACTACAAGCTTCTAAATACACATAATTTTATAGAAACTCACATGATTCTATATCGCATGTCCAAATGCCTACATAGTATTATAGACTTGGGTGAAATAACATTAATTATATTCCCTTCGAAAAGGAAGCACTCTTGTTAATTTTTTAACTAACTTGGTTATTTGTTTTGTAGGTGACTTTCATTATAACAATTCCAGGAACTATCTAGTGGATTCAAAAGAAATCATTAACCTAGACAAAGTTAATCATATAAGAAGAAGGTCCACAGATTAACTAGTAATTCATTAATGTTTTTATTTCATTTGATGCAAATTTTAATTATATGAAAGGAAGTTGATAGTAAACAATAGTCATTTCGCTAGAATGCAAATATCAAAGTTTAAAGAAATTTATATGGTTATAAATTATGCACCTGGTGAGCACTCTATGGTGTCCTTTTGATGCTAAATCAAGACTTGGTTAAGAAAATCTAATATGTTGCTATTGTCTTGAAGAATTTTCTTCTTCACCTGTATCCAATGTACTGAGTATATTAGATATTAAGTTTGAAGTTTTGGGCTATAATTTAGTTTTTAGATGTTGATATTAATCTCTGAGATTCAACCCATTGGAAGCTAGATTGTTGAGAAATACATATATTTTGTATATTTAGTTTCCATATGTAGATCAAATCTCATTAATTGGGGATCATGATTTCTTACCTAAAGATAGAATAGATTGATTTGTATCAAGTTGTATATATATCAGTCTGTGAATAAAGAAAGATACTTCACCAAAATATATTGTTCTCTCTTTTTCTAAGATGGTATCAACGCTAGCTTGATCATTCAAAAAATCCAAACACTAATAATAAGAGTAACAATATGGATTCATCAAATTCATATTTTCTTCAACATTCAGATCATTTCAGCCTCATGCTTGTTCTAATTAAGTTGAATGGGATCAATTATCCATCTTGAAGCAAATCAATGATACATGCTCTCATAGCCAACAACAAAGTATCTTTTATTGATGGATCAATTGAACCACCGCCAGAAACAAATAAGCCAACAGAGTATGCATTGTGGAATAAATGCAATAATATGATTTTATCATGGCTTGCTCATTCGGTGGAACCTGTTCTAGCTAAAGAAGTCATCCATGCCAAGATTGCTCACCAAGTATGGCAAGATCATAAATATCAATTTTCACAAAAGAATGCACCAACAATATATTAGATTAAAAAATCACTGGCTTTACTCTCACAAGGTAACATGAATGTTTCTTCATATTTCACAAAACTCAAAGATCTTTTGGGATGAGTTGGATATATTTCGAACACCTCCCACGTACATGCAAACAAATTAAAGCGCACACAGATCAAATTGAAGAAGACCGTGTAATGCAAATTTTAATGGGTCTAAATGATATCTATAATATATTTTGATCTAATATTCTCATGATGTATCCCCTTCCTAATGTACGTCAAGCATATTCACTTGTTATTCAAGAGGAAACACAGAGACAAATGACGTCGGAATCAACAAAAAATTTCTCTATCGCTGCTGCACTTCAAAGACGTACATATAATTTTTTCTACAAACCCAAGGATAAACATTGTGAGCATTGCAATCGAGAAGGGCACACAATTGAGAACTGCTGCACACAAAAATTTCATTGCAAAAGAAAACGTCATACAGAGGACAGATGTAAGTTTAAAAATGGCACTTGGTCTCTCAACAACTCAGGAAATCAAAGTTATCGACGACAACATGGATCTCAGGGTAATACTTCTCATGCTAATGTGATCGAATCTTCTCAATCTAAGAAAGAGGGTTGACTCGCAAGATGCCAGCAGTTCACATGGATTTTCAGCATAACAACTTCGGCAGATTGCTCAGGCAGTAAGCTTATTCACTCAAAATAATAATTCTGCCAGTAATAGCGATGCCTATGCAAATACAACAGGTTTATCTCTTTTTCATAATGTTTCAATTAATTCTGCATTCACTAGGCCATGGATCTTGGATAGTGAAACAACTGATCACATAATTACTTCTGATTCCACATTCTTCACTCAAACAAAATCCCCATCTATACCCATTGTCAATTTGCCCAATGGGTCACCAGTATCAATTCATTCCACTGGCACAATTCCCTTTAACTCAGACATTACCTTAAACAATGTTTTACATGTTCCATCTTTTCGTTTAAATTTAATGTCTGTTAGTAAACTTATCAATAACTTAAATTGTTATGCCCTTCTATTTCTCACTTTTTTTGTATTGCGGGACTTGGTGGATGATTGGATTGGATAAGCATCATGGTGGTCTCTATTATATGTCATCGGTACAAAATTCACCCATTTCTCATCAAGTTTAACAATCAAAAAATTTATGGCACATGCATCAAGGACACCCGTCACCTTTTTACCTCAGATTAATTGATCCACTATTACCTTCTCGTAGTGTTTCCTTTGATAATAATTGTGATGGTTGTCCTTTGGCTAAACAGACACAGCTTGCATTTCCATTGAGTAATATATCTACTCGTGCTCCAATTGACTTGTTACATTGCGATGTTTGGGGTCCACATCGAGTACAACCTGATTCAGGGACTCGTTTTTTTTTCTTACTGTTTAGATATTTTACAAGATGTACTTGGTTATTTCTTTATGAAATACAAGTCTGAAACTTCTCATCTTTTGCCATCTTTTTATATCACTTACAAAAAGTTAATTTCATGCTTCAGTTGAAAACATTAGGACATACAATGGCAAAGAATTTGAACCAATGAAACTTTTTTTTCAGTCTCATGGAATCGAATACCAACGAACTTGTGTTTCAACTTTACAATACAATGAGGTAGTCGAACGCAAGTATCGTCAAATTTTAAATGTTGCACGAGCTTTACGCTTTCAAACTTATTTGCCAATCACCTTTTGACTATTGTTTATATTATTAACCAATTACCAACCCCATTGTTACATTCTAAGTCACCTTATGAATTGCTATATCACAGGTCACCATCCTTTAGTCACCTAAAAGTTTTTGGTTGTTTGTGCTATGCTACTGTTGTTCAACATAAACAAAAGTTTGATTCTCGGGCCAAATATTCCATCTTTGTTGGTTATCCTATTGGATAGAAATGTTACAAGCTTTATTACCTAGAAACCAAACAATTTTTGTAAGTCGTGATGTCAAATAATTTTCTGAAACTATCTTTCCTTTTAGTTTAGTTACTCCAACTTCGACCTTACTATCTGTAACACCCCAGAATTTTTTTCGAATTAAGACTTGAACCATCCTTCGTTGTGAGTAGGATTTTACCGAGGAATTTAAAATTTCTTAAGTGTTAAGTTCACTAGATGTAGCACCTTGAGTTTCAAAAAGAATTAAATTGGAAATAGCAAAATCTGAAAATTTGCAAGTTATGTTTAAGTATGAGTTTTGGGTTGACTTCAAACGACCATAACTCCTAGCTCAAGATGAGTTAGGTGTGCTACCAGATACTGTAGAAACGACCTTTGAATTATCTTTCCAACGCCGCCGAGTTTGCTAAGTTTAGAGGTCGGATGAGTGAGATATGGCCTTTTGAAGTTAGGCTGTCCAGTTAAGGAAAGTATACCGGAAATAGTAAGGGGTATTTGGTCTTTTCCTTATCCAATCAGATTTAATTCGTTTTTAGTAATATTTTAAGGGTATAGTCTGATTAGGTTCAGTTTTATAATCCTAGTTTATGCCTAGGGTTTTTAGTTGAGAGAAAACAAGAGAAAAGAAGAAGAGAAAAGAGGAGAAAAGAAAAAGGATCGAAGCGTTCGTCGAAATTCTTGAGAGTTGTTGCGGATTGTCGCCATGGGTTTGATCCCTAAGAGGTATGTAAGCTTCCATAGTGTTGGGTTCTTTCACCCACACACCAATCATGATTTATTCAGCGTAATTTTGTTCTTGAAATTTAAAGATTAGAGTTCTTGATAAGTGTTCTTGAAGTTTCATTAAGTTTTGAAGTAAGATTCTGCTTAGATCAACTTTAAACGACCATATCTCTTAGAATATTAAGAGTTACGTGAGCCATAACCTATACAATTAAAGGTAATTGAATCTACTTTCCAACCCCACCTGTTCCACGTCAATCCAATATCTGAGTAAAAAGTTATGACTATTTTAGTAACCTATACAGTGCTGTTACGAATTAGCCGACG